AAATTTAATTTTTGCGTGATGTCTGGAAGGGAGATCATCACAAAATTTAGCCAATGAAATCAAACTTCCATCATGCTCAACATTTCACATTCCCGACGTTGTAGCTATTTCAGTCAGGATTTTTTCCAAATTTGGAATTACCAAATATTGCAGTGATCAACATACTAAATAGTAAATTTGCACTACGTGAAAAATTGATTGGCTGAAATTCCACCTTTTTCTCCTTTTCTTTTCTCAAAAACTCACATAATATGAAAAAATTTGACTGTTCATAGAAGGTCTCATGGATGTGTGTTCCCATAATCCATCAAAAAACCCATGAAATTCTATTCAAATAAAAAATTAAAATAATTAAATATTTGTTTAAATGGATTTTGATGGGTTTTTTGATGGATTATGGGAACACACATCCATGAGACCTTCTATGAACAGTTAAATTTTTTCATATTATGTGAGTTTTTAAGAAAAGGAGAAAAAGGCGGAATTTCAGCCAATAAAATTTTTACGTAGTGCAAATTTACTATTTAGGATGTTGATCATTGCAATATTTGGTAATTCCAAATTTGGAAAAAATCCTGACTGTATTTGTAACATTAATTTATTTAGTTTGCATCTCTTTCAATTTATTTTATTTATGTTTATTTATATTTTATTTATATTATCAATCCATTTAATTTTATTATAAAAAAAGACATTTTTCAAGGTAATAAAGATGACTCATATTTTACAACAATTAAAATATTTGTTAGTAGAATTAGAGCTCTGAAACGGGTTGGGTTGACCTGAACGGGTCAGGTCGGGTCATGATTTAATTGACCTGGGTTTGACCTGGGTCAACATCATGTTATAATTGTCTTTAAAAGTTCAAATTTATTTTTGAAACTAGTATAGATACTAATAAATGGATAAAAATAAATGGCAAAATAACAATTTTGACATTAAAAAAATCAATAATTGATGCAAGTGTTTATGTAAAATAAAAATAATAATAAATTGTGTTATTTATGGTTATGGAAAAATTATTTGGTGATCAGTGAAAACCTTATTTTTTTATTATTTAATTATTATTGCTATTTCGTTATCATTATCATTAATATTATTATTTCATTATTATTATTACTATTGTCACCGATTAAATTCGGGAGAGTGTATTTTAATTGGTGATAATAATTATTTTTGTTTTGTGTGGATCAGAATGAATAGGGGATCAACGAATTGATTTTGTTATTAGCGAATAATTTTGGTTAAAGATAAAAGTTTTAAATAAAATATTTCTATTTTATTTATTTAGTTGAAACTAATTAACTTGTAAGAAAGTTGCTTTTACATTAGGTTGAAATCAAGTTCTTTATATACATGTTCTTTACATATTAGCCCAAATTGCGTGAATCTGCCCATTTTGAAGAATCGTCACTAATCTAAATAAAGTTAAATAAATATGAATGTGCCACGGATTAATAAATAATAATAATAATAATAATATGTGAAACGTAATGCGAATTCAGATGATAATAAATAATTATACACATTATTGATAAATAAATAGAATTAATAAATAAATAAAATTTAAATTGTCCCAGAATTAAAAGATTAGACCAAAATATCTGCGTCAAAATCTAATTCCGGTATTTCATAATATGAATAGTGGCTCTACTTCAAATTTAAGTCATCATCTTAAGAATCATAAAAATAAAATTGATGTTAATGTAAATAAACAAGCAATGATGTTGGACAGATTTCTTAAAAGTGGCAGTAATAGTGAACATATTGTGTGTACTGTATATATTTAAATCAATTAATATATCTACATTTGTAATTTTCTTAATCTGTGACCCGTTGACCCGACGGGTCGGGTCGGGTCAACTGTTTAAAAGTTCGAGTCGGGTCGGGTTGAACCACTGACCCGACCCGACCCGACTCGTTCGGAGCTCTAAGTAGAATATTTAATTTTGACTTTGAAAAATAATTCTTACACTTACTATATAAAAAAATTTTAATAAAAATTCAAAAATTTTAATTAAAAATGTCTAATAAACAAATTACTAAAAGAATTTTATTCATTGATGAAGATTCAAATCCTAAAAAAAATAAAACATTAGAACAATCAACTTCATCAATTGATTTTTTTGCCAAAGTTCATAATACTCCAGTTCACCAAATGGAAATTTTTGAGATATCTGATGATGAATCAATTGGTAGTGATAATACTATAAGTTCTGGAGATGAACAAAAATCACATAATAGAGAAAACATTGATCCTGAATGGTTTAAATTATATCCATGGTTAGAAGTTGAAGTTTCCAATGAAAAAACAATCTTATATTGCAAAATCTGTAGAGATCAAAATGGGAATACCAATTTTGCAAAAGGTTCATCTAATTTAAGACTATCAGGAATTAAAAAACATTCGAATTCTAATGCACATAAAAAGTTTGAATTATTTGAGATAGGGTTTATAAATCAATTGAGCACCAAAAAATTAACAATAGTTTCATTGATGCAAATTATTTATTTATGTTCAAAAAAAAATATTTCATTGAATGTATATCCTGATATGTGCAATTTAATGTTCTTGCAGACAAAAAACAAAGTTACTAATGATAAAAAATTCAATTTAAAACCTGTGTCCATAGCAAAGCCATCATTATCTAAATCAACATATGGGAGTTATGCTAATAATAAATCTGGTTCTGAATTTTTAGAATGTATAGTTTCTGTAATACAAAAAGAACTTTTTGAAGAATTGAATTCATCTCCATATTGGAGCATTATGATTGATGAGACAAATACTATTAATAATAATACGCGAAATGTAACACAAATTCAGATGATAATAAATAAAAATAGAAATAATAAAATTAAAAATAATAAAAATAAAAATAAAAAATAGATTAAATAAAATAATAATAAAAATAAAAATAGAAATAAAAATAAAATTTAATTT